GGGTTGCATGATTGCAGAGAGCTAAGATCCGCCTCTACATATATATATATATACATATATATATATATATATATTTATATGTATATGTTCACATATATATATATATATATGTTTATATATATATATATATATGTTTGGGTTTAGGGTTTAGGGTTCAGGGCCCCGAGGAAATCCTACCATTTGGGGGGTCTGCATTAGGGCCCCGTATCTTTTCCTAAACCCCCATATACATACACATGCTTAGGTCTCCAATGCCAAAGTATGACCCTTTGGCGGGGGGGAGGGGGGGTCCCTGTAAACCATACGACCACCCCCCCTTAGGGTTTAGGATCTATGGTTTAGGGTTTAGGGCTACCGCTACCCCGAACTTGGACAACTGGCCATCTTGAGCGCAAAGACATACGGCTTCGCAACTGCACACAATCTGCACGATTACCCTAAACCCTAAAGCTTAAACCCTGAACCCTGAACCTTAAACCCTAAATCCTTCTAGCGCGAGCAGACTTCAAAAACGCTCAAGCGCCCCCTCCTAGACGCTCGTTGCTTTCAAACCTTCAAGCTGCCGTGCTCCTCGGCGGCGACCAGCGCGGGTGTATACGGCTTAGGGTTTAGGGTTGAGGTTAGGGTCTTAAAGGTTTAGGGTGTTTAGGGTTTAGGGTGTTTAGGGTTTAGGGTGTAGGGCGTTTAGTGTTTAGGGCTCAGGGTGCTTGGTGTTCAGGGTGTTTGGTGTTTCGGGTTTAGGGAGTTAAGGGTTTAGGGTCGCCCACAGTTGGAGGGTGTATAACCCTGAATCCTAAACCCTAAAGAACCCTAAAACCGTAAACCCTTAGACTAACAGTCCTGGGATTGTAATATGGGGGGGGGTACTATAATCCCTATTAAGGACTGCTAGTATAAGGGTGAACATCCCACGCTAAACCCAAAAAACGCTGGAACCTCGAACCCTAAACCCTGAGTCCTAAACCCTACATCCTGCATCCTATCCCCAAAAACCCTGAGTCCTAAGCCCTAAAAACCCTTGAACCCTGAACCCTGACACCTTGAACCCTAACACCTTAAGCCCTAAACCCTAAACCCTAAACCCGAAACCCTAAAACCTAAACCTTAAAACCCCAACACCCTACGCTCCTGTGACCTCGGGACTCCAAGCCCCAAAGCCGAGGCGCGTTGCCATCTCCGGACTGGACTCCGTTCGTATGTGGAGGCAGTCCTGGGTACCATTGCATTGGGGGGGGGGGGGGGGGGGGGGGGGGGGGTTAGGGTTTAGGTTTTAGGGCTTAGGGCTTAGGGTTTAGGGTTCGGGTTGAACCAAAAGGGCTCATCATTTTGGATCAGCCCCCCCCCCCGCCCCCCGTTACGGAAGACGCCTTCAGTCAACATGCCAGTTTAGCGTAAACCCTTGACCGTATAAACCCTAAACCCTGCAAAGCCCCTAGACCCTGAACCCTGAAAAACCATTGTGGAGGCGATGACCTGCAAACCGGGTTTTAGGCCGTTGGCTTCTTTGAGGGTTTAAGTAGGCTTGGGGCTTCGGGGGTTTAGGTCTCTTGGGTTTGGCACTACAAGGCTACAAGGAAGACCTGGTTCAGATTTTAAAGTCATGTCTCGAGAGATATACACTTGTAATCCGAAGCCTCAAACCCTAAACGCTAAACCTTACACCCTAGACCGCTTTACTGGCTCAAAGCTTCTCATTGCCCGCCCGCCTAGAGTGTTTTCTCTAGCTAAAAACCGACCGACCTAAATCCCTGAACCCCAAACTCCTCAACGAGATTTCAGGGTGTAGGGTCACCAAAACCCCCTAGTGCCCTCGAACCCTACAAAGACCTAATGCCCCAACACTCCACCCCCTCGCTGAACTTTGCAAAGGCACGTCCGGGCGGGTGCTGTTGAGCCTGGAATGTACATCGTGCTAAGGCTAGGGGTAAAGGTTCGGGAGGGTGTGGGGGGCGGGGGGGGGGGGGGCTGGTTTGGGATTATAGGGTTTACCCTAAATCCTAAACCCCCCCCCCCAAAAAAAAAAAAAAAAAAACGAACTCTAGCTGGGGTCCGAAGAGAGCAGGCGGCGTCCCGGCTCGGGGGGGCGGGAGGTTCAGATCTCAGGGCTCCGAGGAAATGGGCCCAACATTTTTTTGGTGAGTTCTCGAAATTCGGGCTCCTGTTTGGGCACCTTACATTTTAGTTCGGGTCCCTTTTTTTTGGGTACCTTAAATAATAGGCGGCCGTAGTAGAGTAGGGATCCCAAAAGGGACCATCTGTAGAGAACTCACCAAACAGAGGCCCCTGTGAGGGCTTCTAAAAATTCTCGAATGCTGAGCCCAAAACCCTAAACCCTAAACCCTAAACCCTAAACCCTAAACCCTAAACCCTAAACCCTAAACCCTAAACCCTAAACCCTAGCGTTCATGTGCTGGCTTAGGGGTTAGGGTTTGTAGGCTTATAGGGATTAGGGTTCAGGGTTTCAGGATCCCGGGAAGATAATTCAAGCCATTGGGGAGGGGTTCTAACCCTAAACCCTCAACCCTAAACACGTAGGGTTCATGGTTTGGCCCTCAACGCAGCCAAGATGCTTCGTGTATGTGATCTGCCAGAGCTTCCTCGACCACTTGAGGCAGAACCGTGTGTTAGGGCCTTTATACAGGGCTTAGGGGGGGCCTTCGATGTAGAAAGCCTAGTCTGCGACGGCTATGGCAGACTTGCTCTGCGTGGTCATACAAGAGGAACTTGGTAGCCCAGGAACCATATTCTGATAAAGGGCACCGTTTTTGGGGTTGGCTACTTTGAAAGGGAACCTTGAACCAAAAAAGGGCAACAAAAAGGTGCCACTGGGCTACCAGGGGAAAGTCACAACGAAAAAACCCACCAACAGCCCCCGCAACTCTTCAACACCCAATCGAATCAAACCCACCGAGAGATCCGGAATCCCCCTGAAGTCCATTCCTCTGCGGGGCATAGACCCTGATTCCTGAACCCTCAACTGACCCTAGACCCTTTTAACCCTAAACCCTCACCTCTTTAAACCAGGCGGGTGCGGCGGGATGGGGACGGGGGAGAGTTTGGCACGGTTAGGGTTCCTAAGGTTGTATCCCTGAGTTTGGTTCTCCTCTTGAAAGACCGCAGATGTTTCGAGGTTGGTACTGACCTTCGGGGTGCGAGCTTGAAACCCTAGACCCTGAAAAGCCTTAAGGCTTTTCCAGACCCAAGAGTAGCCTAAAAATCATACGGCACGGCCGCCTTTTTTGGTTTAAACATGCTTTTACAGGGAACTTAAACCCCCAAAAAAGTAGGGAGTCAGGGCCTACTCTGGGTCTCATAGTTATTGCGGCTTGTGTTGTTGAACGGAATCTGCGGCGGCTTCGGGGGTGAACGGGATGACGGTTTGCGCAGGGAGTGTAAAGTAGGGCTTAGGTGTCTCTAGGGTAGGTATGAGGACCCCCCCCCCCCCGCACAAACCGGCTTTGAAGGGGATTCTGCAGGAATCCTTAGGGTTTAGGGTTTAGGGTTCAGGGTTTAGGGTTTAGGGACATGTTACATATCCCTAAACCCTAGACCCTAAAAAACCCTAAACCCTAAACCCTGCTAGGGTCTGAGCATCTTCGGCCAGGATGCACACGACGCCTTTCGAAGGCCGCAGCGCAGGCACAAAGGTAGTACACCCACCTCGGGGTTCCTAGGGTTTAGGGTTTGGGGTTTAGGGTTTAGGGTTTAGGGTAGTTACATGGTCTTAGTATGGGCCCTGAAAAGGGGGACGCCTTATATACCTCTAATATATACAAATTAAGGGCCCATACTTCAGACAGGGACCACGAAACTACCTTAGAGGGGTAGAGGCTTGAGGGAACTAGGGTTTAGGGGTTAAGGGATTGAGGGTTTCGGGGTTTGAGGATTTAGGGGTTTAGGGAACTTGGGTTAAGGGCTGAGGGGCGCGGGGTTGAGGGGTTTAGGGTGTATTTAGGGGTCTAGAGGTTTAAGGTACCAACGAACAAACGGCCATAAGGGTGTGTTGAAGCCAAAACACCCTCAACCCTCACGCCTAGAGCCTCAACCCCAACCCCAACCCTACACCGCAAACCCTAAACCCTACACCCTACACCCCAAACCCTAAACCCTAAACCCTAAACCCTAAACCCTAAACCCTAAACCCTAAACCCTAAACCCTAAACCATCGACCCGAGACCGCAGCGAAGCGGCATCCGGCGGAAGCGATTGTCCAGCTCATCCAGCCCCTGGTGGGCAGACGGTGCCCCAAATCCCAATCTCTTTGGGCAGCCTAGGGGTCATGAAGCCCTAAACCCTAAACCCTAAGCCTTAAACCCCAATCCCTAAACCCTAAACCCTAAACCCTAAACCCTAAACCCTAAACCCTAAACCCTAAACCCCCCACAGGGAACACCCTAAACCCCTAATCCCTGAACTAGTACAGTATGTCGTCATGGAAGACGAAACCCCCAAACAAACGAAACGACTTGGTGTTCAGAGCGCAGGCTTTGGGGTTTAGGGTTTAGGCGTTTACGAATCTAAGGGTGCTCAAGCAAAGCCCACGGCACAAAAAAAAAAAAAAACTACCCAGGAAGCCCTGCTTTCGCAATTGCCACTGCCATTCTACTACCCTAAACCCAAAACACTAAACCCTAAACCCTAAACCCTAAACCCTACACCCTAAACCCTAAACCCTAAACCCTAAACCCACCACCATTACCCAAAACCCTGGCCCTGAACCCGATCCTGAAATTTGACTAGGGCTCCTTCCCTGAGGCCCTTGCTCAACCCACGAACCCAACAAACCGCAAAGCACACTTCCGGCTTAGGGTTTGGGGTCTTAGGGTCTTAGGGCTTTTGGGTTGAGGGTTTGAGATACGAGCAGTCCTATGATAGGGATTATCACATGCGGCAGTTTAATCCCTACTAAGGACTGTTTGTACAAGGTGGGAACATGCCACCCTAAACCCTAAGGCCCTAAACCCTTTCAGGGCCCACACTAAGGGGCAACATCCCAAGTTTCAGTGTTTCACTCCAGAATCCGCCTTCCAGTCCCTGATGCGCTCCAGCCAGCATCGCAGTGTCATGACATAGCTCTTCCCGAAGCTGTGCCAATCCTCCATGTGCCATCCTCAGACACGTTTGGGTTCAGGGTTTAGGGTTTAGGGTTTAGGGTTTAGGGTTTAGGGTTTAGGGTTTACTGTGCTAATCCTCCATGTGCCATCCTCAGACACGGCTCCGCGAAGTTCTCTGAAACAACACAGGGGTCATGCCCAACAAGAACAGAGTCTCCTTCCGCTTGGTATAAGCAAACACTAAACCCTGGAACCCGAAAACAGAATAAGCTTTCCAACCAAACAAAAGCCCGCACGTTGATCGTTGGGGTTGGGTTTTTGAGGCTTGAGGGCCCTAAACCCCAAACCCTAAACCCTAACCCTCCAACCCTAAACCCTAAACCCCAAACCCTAAACCCTAAACCCTAAACCTGAAGACCTAAACGGGGGGAGCTTGAGGACCTTAAGGTTGGAGAGGTTCCGGCATCATGCTCGAGGTCTTTCAGGGCCCGAACAACCCGAAACGCTCTAAACCCGAATCAAGCCGAAGGCCCATGAGCCATAAACCCTGGCTTAGGGTTTAGGGTTTAGGGTTTAGGGTTTAGGGTTTAGGGTTTAGGGTCTAGGGTTTAGGTTTTAGGGTTTCGGGCCCTAAGGCCCATGAACCATGAACCCTTAAAGCGTTAACACTCTAAACCCCATAAACCCTGTATGCCAAAAACACCAAAAACACTCCAAACAGGGTAAACCCTTTTGAAAAAGAATACTAACAATGCTAATCAGAATGATACCCATAATCAACACTTTAGGCCCCATAAACTCCCAAAACCCTAAACCCTAATCCCGAAACAGACCCTGAACCCTAAACCCTAAACCCTAAACCCCGAAGATGCTCTCCCCTTTGAGCTTGCCCTCCAGGCGCTGTCCGAGTACTCCATGGTCATGTGAGACATGGTGGGCATCCTTGGAACTCTTATTTAGGGTTTAGGGTTTGGGGTTGGCCCTCTTTCCCCAAACACTAAGCCCTGAACACCCTAAGCACCCGAAACACCCTAAACGCCCTAAGCCCCAATCCCGAAAACACAAACCCTAAACCCCAACCCCCCAACCCCCAAACCCCCAAACCCTAAAACCCAAAACCCTAAACCCCAAACCCTCAACCCCAAACCCTAAACCCCAAACCCTACACCCCAAACTCTAAATTCCGGATTCGAAGCCGGCGCTGTCTCTAGGCTTTGAGTCTTGGTGCAACACAAGCTGCATTTACCCTGAGACTTGGGAGAACTTGGTTTAGGGTTTAGGGTTTAGGGTTTAGGGTTTAGGGTTTAGGGTTTAGGGCGAGGGTTTAGGTAGGGCCTATATGGCTTAGGAGCTCCTAAACCCTAAGCCTGCTCAAGTGTTGGCTCGTCGCTCACCACCTGGGAAGATGTACTTGTTCACGAAGGCCTGAGATGAGCTGCAGGCTTCGGCCAGGCGAGGCGTGGGGCTAGGGTTTAGGGTTTAGGGTTTGGGGTTTAGGGTTTCGGGTTTGGGGTTTGGGGTTTTGGGGTTTAGGGCTTAGGGTTTTAGGGTTTAGGGTTTCCAGGTTTAGGTTTTTTGGCAGCTCTGCCGCTCTGCCTTCAAGTCCCCTGAAACTTCCCTTCTGCGTCTGCGAGACTCACCACAAAACTACCCAACCCTCAAAATTGGGTTTGGGGCTTCTAAACCCCAAACCTAACCCCTGAACCCTGAGCCCAAAACCCTAAGCTTTCTTGCCCCAAACCCCCTAAACCCCTAAACTCGTAGTACAAGTCCCAGACCTCAGATTTAAGGCTTTGGGTTGTGTGGCTTGATGTAGGAGACTTGGCTGCACTCAGAAGGGTAGCTAAAAATTCAATTTTTAGCTGACATATTAAGAAACCCAATAAACCCAAAAAGGCTAAGGATCTAAAGTTACAGTGAAGCACTACAAAGGAGACGTAGGGCTCGGCCAAACGGCCACGGACAAAGGGGGGGGGGGGTGTGGGTAACGGGGTTTTCGGAGTGATCGGTTGGGATGTTCCCTCTCATACTAACACTCCTTAACAGGGACTATACTAATGGGTACTATGATCCCTAATTATTAAGGACTGTTAGTATAAGAGGGAACATCCCAAGTGATGGGCTTTGGTGGCTCTCATGGGGGGGGTTGTAGGGTTTTGCCGCCTGGCGTCGTTGTGGTTCCAAGGACCCCGGCGCGCCCAGCCCATGGTGTGGATCAACATGATGCCATCATCCTCGGATTCGAGACCCCTACCTGAAGAACCACCAAAAACCTCCTAACATCGACCTAAACCCTAAGCCCTGGGCCGTTAAGCCCGAAACCCTGAACCCTGAACCCTGAACCCTGAACCCTAACAAAACGCGGCCTCCGGTTCCTAACGTCCCTCATCCCAAAGAGCTTCAGAGTTGCGAGGATGATGTCCTAGGCTAGACCTGCACTGCAGGTTCACGTACGCCGTTTCTGAGACCGGTTATGTACCCCCCCACCCACCCCACCCAACAACCAATTCTAACTACAAATACCTGCTAGCCCTAGGTACAACTACGCTTGAGCAAGATGATTATTTGTAACCAGCGTTCTTTTGTTGAGCAAGAGGGCGAAGACAACAAGCATTCCGAAATCGTACCTGGTTTTTACATCGTGTGTAACTGGGTGTAGAAAGGGCCTGCCTGTTGAAAAAACAAGATAAGGGGATTACTTGAATTGAAAAGTGTCAGCCTCGGCCGCTCCTAGGGGGGAGAGGGGGGGAGGCAAAAGAAGGGAGGGGGAGGGGCGGGAGGGGGAGGGGGGGGGAGGCTGGAGACTTTAGTAAAGGCTTCCCTTCCCCAACCTCCCTGAAATCCTACTAAACCCCCAACCCCAAACCCTAGTCGGCCCTAACCTTCTCAGTATCAGTCTTCGACTCTTGGGGGGGGGGGGGATGAACAGGGCTCGAGGTTCCTGAGCGGGTCCCTGAACCCGGAACCCTAAACCCGAAACCCTAAACCCTAAACCCTAAACCCTAAACCTTCATGCGTCGTTTCGAGTGCCCTAATTCCTAAGCCCGAAGCCCTTGAACAAGGCTTTGCTTGGGTTTTAGGACACAGGCTGGAGGGCCCACTGCCCCAAAGTGCAACGCGTTTAGGGTTAGGGTTTAGGGTTTAGGGTTTAGGGTTTAGGGTTTAGGGTTTAGGGTTTAGGGTTTAGGGTTTAGGGTTTAGGGTTTAGGGTTTAGGGTTTAGGGTTTAGGGTTTAGGGTTTAGGGTTTAGGGCCCCCCGAACCCTTGTCGGACTGAGCCAGCTGCCGCGAGCAGCTCGTAGCACTTGTCGAAGAAGTGATTGTAAGAGTTCCGACCCACGTGCTCCTCGGGTGTGGGGCTCATAGGGTAGGGGATAGGATTAGGGGGACCCTTGGGGATATAGACCCTCTGAATAAGGTCCCTTTTTAAGAGAGCCAGAAGAGGGTTCAAAACGGGTTCCCTTTTAAGGGCTCCCCTTATCCTACCAAGGATAGGGTGTTGGGTGTTCAATTGAAGGCTCCCCGGCGGAGCTCTCCCTCCCAAAGAGGGGAGCAACAATCTAGAGAAAACTGGCCCCTCATCCTAGTTAAGGTTTGTGCCCACCCCCCCCCCCCCCCCCCCCCCCCAAGGTTTTTAGGGTTTTGGGCTTGGGGATGTGCAACCTCTTCCAGGTTTATAGGGTCACACCCTGGAGTCAAGGGTGTTGAGACCCTAAACCCTAAACCCCAAACCCCAAACCCTAAACCCGAAACCCTACCCCTAAACCCTAAATCCTAAACCCTAAACCCCATACACCAACGTGAGGCTATCCAGTCCAGGGTTCTGGCATCCTTAAGCTATCACGGGGCCCAGGCCCACCCGAGGTGCTCATAAGCAATGAGAACCCCAGTGGGGTTAGGGTTTAGGGTTTATTGTTTAGGGTTTAGGATTTAGGTCAAGGCACAAACATGCCCACCGAGTAGATGCGATCGAACTCCCCGGTGACCTCGCGGTAGTCCTGGAAGCGGTACTCGATGTTGGGGTGAGCGTTGTGCTCCACGGCCTCAGGCTTCGGGCTTGGGCTTTGTGATCTGCTTATTGGGGTCAGGAAGAGAGGTCGGACGCCCTAAGCCAGCCAAGTCCTCCCCAAACCCTAAACCCTAAACCGTTAAACTTGGACGCCAATATCTGACGACCATGCTAGACAAAGGGAGGGAGCCCTCCCGCACTGTCTCGTACAAAGTGATTATATTAAGTAGGGTTTAAATTCCTTGTACCCCCAAAAGGACACCCAATATATACACTCACCAATATTAAAAAGAACCTTATATACACTCACCAGTAACAGTAGTATAGACCCTGTTTCATGCAACTTGCTGAGGGTGCCAACGAGATCACGAAACCTACACCCGACTTGTAACTCGGGGTTGTGGTTCAGGGTTTAGGGTTTAGGGTTTACGGCTTAGGGCTTAGGGTTTAGGGCTCCGGGGTTCATCTGGAAAATCTGGCCACCAGCTAAGTCTAACAGCCGCCAAACGCCAGAAGGTCGGGAAGTTGCTTCCAACGAGGAGGGTCGGGGAACTTAGCAAGTAGCGCTACTGAGCAGGGTACCAACGTAGGATAACCCCAACGTAAAACCCTAGACCGCGTTGGTATACAATCAGGTCATTAAACAGGGCTTCTCCGACTTTTTGCAACCCACCCCAGCACCACCCCCCCACCTCTCCTTCAATCCCTCCGTCTAAGCCCTAAACCCTACACCCGAAACTCTGAACCTTAAACCTTCCCCTCCCCCTTCCCCTCTCCCCTCCTCCCTTGTCCATTCTCTGCCGCCCCACTTTCTCTACCGCCCCACTCCCCCGCCTCCGACTACCTACCTCCTCCCCCCCGCCCCCCGTGGCTACTAGGAGAACCAGGAAAACGAACCCCAAACCAAATTAAATTAAATTCCCCGAAGCCCTTTTATGCCCTTAACCCTACGACCTTGAGCCCTAAGCCCTTGAGCCCTAAACCCTAAACCCTAGCAGGGCTCCAGGTTCACCCGTCGAGTCGCCCATGCCATCTGCTCTCGTGACAGCGTCACACCAGTGACCTGTCACCAGAAACTTAAACCCTACAAGGGGTTTAGGGTTTAGGGTTTAGGGTTTAGGGTTTAGGGTTTAGGGCTTAGGGTAGAGGGTTTAGGGTTTAGGGTTTGGGGTAGTTTAGGGCTTGATGTTAGGCCACAATCCCCCTCGCTGCGGGGTATAACGCACCAATCTTGCTGGACAAAGCCAACGTCCCAACCGAAACAAATGAACGAAACCTATAGGAGCTACCTTCGACCCAAACCCCATATCCCTATGTAAATCGACGCAAACAGTAGAACCCGAAACAAGAAGCCTACTGGTTCTTAGTAGGGAATGAAACTAGGTACCTTCTAGCCTAAGAGGTACCTGAACTTGTACCCTAAACCCTAAACCCTAAACCCCATATCAGCGTCTTCAGACCTCATGTGCATCTTTCAAGGCTTCGGCCTTCGGTCGCCTTCGGGCCTTTGGGCTTCAGGGCTTGGAGGGCAGTTTAGGGTTTAGGGAGTGGGTTTAGGGTTTCAGAGGGTTTAGGGTTTAGGTTTAGGGTTTAGGGTTTAGGGCTTAAAACTGTTTAGGCTGCAGCCCAGGGCACATGCACACCGTACTTGGAGGCCAAGTAATACGCCTGGCACTGGAGCGGTAGGCAGAGGAGAGCCTACGTGGAGGTGTAGGGTTGCGGTTTAGGGCATAGGCTTTGGGATTGCTTAGGGTTTAGGGTTTAGGGCTCAGGATTTGGGATCGTTTGGGGTTTAGGGAGGTTCATGGATAGCTTTCAATTGGGGATATAAGGTAGGGTAGCCAGAGTTGGAACCGATCATAGCCATACTTGGTGTCCCTGCTTAACACCACCCTTGAACGACACCCCAGCATTTGCAAGTTCACGTCCTTGCAGCAACTAGGAAGAACCCTCTGGAGCCTTATTGGAGCTTTCAGTGAGACACCCGCAAACCTACGCTTACCCAAAGCTACGCGGAACCCTAAACCCTAAACCCTAAACCCTAAACCCTAAAACCCCTACCCAGCCCCGGCCCGGTGGAACGCGTTTGGGGCTTTTGGGTTTATTTTAGGGCCAGCGTTCATCGCTTCTTTCTACACCCATGTCATTTTTGCGGGTCAGCCGTTCTTGGAACCCTTTCCAACACGCCCCTGCTTGAGGCTCCTATGATAAGCATAAGAGGCGAGGATTTGGGGGCATAGTGGGCGTACCCCTGTTTTGAAAAAAGGCTCACAAGTGAAGGTACTTCCAAAAATGGCCATGTAGCCGGACTGTATTGCACGTCTTGGTGTTGCATGTGAAGTCTCTCCCGGGTTCTATGTTAAAGTAAAGGATTATGGGTAGTGGGGCCAGTTTAGGCGCTAGGCGTGGGTGTTTACGGCTCTGAATCCCTGTTCCCCTAGGAAGAAAGAAGGATCCTTTTTGTTCATCCATAAGAAAGCCCATAACCCAAAAAGTAAAAAGGATCCCTAACACTGATCTAGGGCTGTAGGGATCTAGGCCCTGGGCTTTACAGTGTCGTCCTTCAGGGTTTTGGAGCTTAGCTAGGATGGCCATTAAAACCCTCTGAAAGATATTCCTAAATATAATCCTCTTAAGCCCAATAAGGGAAAATAATAAATATCCCAAGGGTTTGGGTTTAGGGTTTAGGGTTTAGGGTTTAGGGTTTAGGGTTTAGGGTTTAGGGTTTAAGGGTTAAGGGTTAAGGGTTTAGGGTTTAGGGTTTAGGGTTTAGGGTTTAGGGTTTAGGGTTTAGGGTTTAGGGTTTAGGGTTTAGGGTTTAGGGTTTAGGGTTGTTAGAGAACTCGCAAGGACTGTCCGTCCCACAAAAGCGCTTCGTCCTGCCTGCGCGCCAAAGCCGAACCCGAACTCCAAACATCTCCTGGGTGGTTTAGGGTTTAGGGTTTAGGGTTTAGGCAGCGTGCGAGGTATGGACGGCAGGCTTCCGCCAGTGGTCTTTCTAGTGGCGCATGAGGGTTGTTGACACTTCTGGAGTGGTGTTGAATGAGGAATCACACAAAGTGCACCGAATCAGACAAAGGGTCTCTTCTCATTTTATTACAATGAGGCGCTGAGAAAACTCACATTTGGTTTGGCCTCTAAAACCCCCAAACGCCACTAAGACCCAAAAACCATAAAGCCCTTAAACAAACCAAAAAATAGCAAACAACTAAAACCTAAAACCCCCAAAACACTCAAAAAGCCAGCAAAACAGCTAAAGCCCTAATTACAATAGACCGAAAAAAACCAAAGCTCCCATCTGGGGAGGCCGATATTTCCGACAGCCCAGAGGCCCCACTTGTCCCTCTCGGTTTCCGGGGGTTGGGGTTTAGGGTTTAGGGTTGAGGGTTGAGGGTTGAGGGTTGAGGGTTGAGGGTTTAGGGTCTAGGGTCTAGGGTTTAGGGTTTAGGATCTAGGATTTAGTATGGAAGAGGGGTTAGGGGGCTTAGGGTCTCAGGGTTTGGGGGTTGTTACGGGCTTCGAGGTCCAAGAGTTCAAGGGTTTCGGGGCCTCAGGGATAAGACAGGCTGTCCTGGTTTGCTTTGAAGGGCTGCTGCTACTTCTGGGCGTCGTGGCCCCTAAACCCTAAACCCTAAGCCCTAAACCCTAAACCCTAAAACCCTAAACCCTAAAACCCTAAGCCCTATATAAAACGCTAAACCAAACCCCGGACTCCCCATCATCCCTGGCCGTGCTTCATACCCGGCTTCAGGTCCAGCTTCTTTGCCTGGTTTGGGCTTAAGCGGCTTAGGCTTAGCTTGGGGTTTAGGGTTTAGGGTTTAGGGTTTAGGGTTTAGGGTTTAGGGTTTAGGGTTTAGGGTTTAGGGTTTAGGGTTTAGGGTTTAGGGTTTAGGGTTTAGGGTTTAGGGCTCAGGTGGCTTTAGGGCTTTCGGGTTCAGGGTTTCGGGTACCTGCCTTGGGACCTACCCATGACTCCAATGGCGTACGTATGCCCCAAACCCTAAACCCTAAACCCTAAACCCTAAACCCTAAACCCTGAACCCTGAACCCTGAACCCTGAACCCTAAACCCTAAACCCTAAACCCTAACCCGAATCAAACCCCACTTGGGTCCTACTGCCTGCAACTCGTCACCTGCCTTGGGGTCTTTGGTGCCCTGACATCTCTGAATTTCCAGAAGCCGCAAAGCATTACAAACTTGTAGGCCACTAAACCCTTTATAGGGCTTCGGGTTTGGGGTTTAGGGTTCAGGGTTCAGGGTTTGGGGTCTAGGGTTTAGGGTTTAGGGTCCAGGGCAGGCTGCAACTGAAAGAAGCCCTAAACCCGAAAATCCTGAACCACAAACTGGAGCCGCCGAAACCAAGTTGCAATGAGATCCATCTTCGCCTGATGAACCCGGGCGTATGCAACTGGTTTGGGGTTTAGGGTTTAGGGTTTGGGGTTCAGGGTTTAGGGTTTAGGGTGGCTTGGGGTCTACCTGGACATCCGTTTGCCTAGCTGGCTGAAGACTCTGACTCATGTAGTTCCTTCTGAACATGGGATTTGTCGTCAATGTTTAGCTGTTTGGCTAACTACCCTACTGAGATTGAAAGTCACGGTCACGATTAGGGAGATATTTCTCTCTGCCTAAAAGAAGCCCTTTCGGAACTTTTTGTGTGGTTGACACTTCTTGGCCTGAAACTTTATTCGCCCGAAACCCCAAACCCTAAGCGCTAAACCCCATGCGCACCAAGGCACTACTCTCGACTTACTCGTCTTCTTGAAGGCAAGGGCTATTTCGGGTACAGTACCCCAAAACCTGAACCCTAAACCCTAAACCCAATAAGGTACAGCATCTATTCCCCATAGTCCCTTCTTACGAAGTGTAGGACAGAGGAGGGGCCTGCTACCAGAGTAGGGATAGACGGGCGACAGGGTAGCATCTCTTTGGTCAAATCAGATGTTGCTTGTCAGGAAACCGGTGCCCAAAGAAAGGAAATCATCGACATGCAAGCCGACCTCAGAGTCCGAAAACCCAAGTCAAGGGGTTTAGGGTTTAGGGTTTAGGGTTTAGGGTTTAGGGTTTAGGGTTTAGGGTTTAGGGTTTGCAAGATTTAGGGTTTGAGGTGTAGACTTCGAACCCTGAACTCTAAGCTCCAAATGATGAAGCCGAGAAGATTCCGTCCACAGTTTCTAAAAACCAGCCCTTAAGGTATAGCTTACTTCTCCAATAACCAAGGGGAAAAAAAGGTTAAACTGCATTATTCCTACTAAATAAGGGAAGCCAAAAAGTTTAAAGTTCAGCTGTTGGAGAAGTAAGATAGGCTATGGCTGTGATTCACACCTCCTGCGCTTCGTCCAGCGACATGTCTGGGCGCGCATAGTAGGCGCAAGTATACCTTCGCTTTGGCCACAAACCCCAAAACCTCTAACAGCTCAGGGCCAGCTTTCCGTGATGGTCAGAAAGTTGATTTTGAGCAGCACGACGAAAATCCAAACCATACGCCGCACTGAAACCTTCGCCCCCAAGACCCCCAAGCTCTGTTCCCACCAACACCTGGTGAAGCTTCCTCAACCTATGGAGGACATAACTTCCCAACATCGGAGATTTGGGACGGTTGTTCTAACTTCGAGTATCAGGGACCCTGATAGATGCCTTCGAAAAATCATTGGGGCTTATTGGCTTTAGGCGGCTTAGGGGTTCGGGGTTTTGGGGTTTAGGGCTTAGGGGCCTAAAGTTTAGGAAGGGTTTAGAACACCAAGCCTGCATTTGTGGCATCTCTGATTGGGCACCGCGCGCTTCCGAGGACGAGCGAAGGAGCTCTCCCAACTCACATACTTAAGGTTTACAAGGCTTCGGCTGAAGGGTAGAGGTTTACACGTCCCTAAACCCTAAACCCCAAGAATTATTGACGCTGTAACTGATTGTAGGCTTGGAGTATCCAGATGGCCCTCATCATAAGCGGGCTATACTTTAAGCCCTAAGCACCTTCATACTACTGGAAAACCTATTTCTAACTTGCAAGGCACGTCCCCCTTCGCGAGGCAGTGGAAAACAGCCTTCCTGTCAACGAGTCTTTCGCTATAGCGACTTGAGCGCGAACCCTGAACCTATGCCTTAGAAGCCATTTTTCCGTACCAAGTCCATCTTGCTATAGGGTTTAGTGTTTAGGGTTTAGGGTTCAGGAAAAGGTTAAGTTCATTGCCCAGAATAAACAATGTTGGATCCCCTATGGTAGGGTTCTTCTAGCAGACACATGAACTGAATAAAACGAGCTCTGCACGAAGTCTGCTTCTACTCTGAAACCCTGAACCCTAAACCCCAAACC